CTCATTCCACTGTGGCTTTTGTCCGGACTCCACCCACTGTAGCACTGGTAGTAGGTCAGCATCCTGTTCCTGTTGCGCCCTCAATTCAGCAGCGTCAACGACCTGTACCGCTTTGCAAGCCGGCCCTTCGCTGTCAGTTAAGGGACTCTGCCCCACCTCACTGCGGAGCTCCACCTCTCGGGACTCGCGCGTTTCACAATATCGACAGCCGTCATGTGCACAAGGACGCCGAGACATAGCATCAGCGTTAGCATGGCGAGCTCCCGCCCTATACTCCACGCTGAAGACATATGGTGCCAGCTTCTCCAGCCAGCGTGCGATCTGTCCTTCTGGTTCCTTAAAGGACATTAACCACTGGAGCGCAGAGTGGTCAGTTTGTACAGTGAAGGGCAGGCCACAGAGATAATACTTGAAATGGTTTATTGCGCTCACAATGGCAAGGAGTTCTCTGCGTGTTGCACAGTAGCGCCGCTCAGCTTTATTGAAAGTCTTACTGAAGTACGCTACCACCGTCTACCCCTCCGGCCCTACCTGGCTCAACACTGCTCCCATCCCCACATCGCTAGCGTCCGTGTCTAGGAGGAACGGTAGGTTGGGGGCTGGGGGGGTGAGAATAGGAGACTCCGTCAAAGCCTTCTTCAGCAATCTAAAGGCATGGTCGCATTCCAGTGACCAGGCAAAATCAGTCTTTCTGTTCCCGCTGTGTAGGTCTAGAGAGGAGAACCAAGAGGAACCCGCTACCAAGTCCAGGGATTCATCTATGTGGGGCAGTGGGTATGAGTCCTTTTTAGTCACACTGTTCAGTGGTCTGTAGTCAACACAGAACCTCATCTTTGCACTTTTCTTTTTGTTAACCATTACAACCCCCGAGGCCCAGGGGCTGTCTGAGGGTTCTATTATGCCAGCCTCCAGCATCTCTTCAATTGCACTGTCGGCAGCTGCTTGATGTGCCAAGGGGAGGCGGCGGGGGCGTGTCTTAATGGGCCGTGCGTCACCAGTGTCTATTTCATGCTGCACCAGGTGCGTTAGGCCCACTTCTTCCTCCGACAGTGCAAAGATGTCTTTAAACTCCCACAGCACTCGCCACAGCTCCTCCCGTTGTGTGGGCTCTAAATTAATGCAGCTGCGCTCCCATATTTCTCTTACTGCTGTCAGTCTGCTCGCACTTACTGGGGGGGTTTGTTGGTCTGGGGCAGGAGGCTGGACATCCACTAAGGGGTGCAGCGGGGTGGGTTTAGAGGAAACTGACTGGGGTACGGGCTCTGGCCCACGAAGGGTCCCCACCAAATTGGATGTCGGCCTGTGTGGTTTCGGGGCCTGTGTGGGGTGTACCATTTCAACTGTCGGGCCCTCTGGAAAGGCCAGCGTGTTCTTCCCTAGGTCTAACACACAGTGAGCAGCCCGCAGAAAATCCAGTCCCAATATGCAGGGGTCCTGCACGGCTGCAACCCACACCCTAAAGTTCAAGGATAGGCCCCCCACCTGGATAATTATCACCGCCTTACCCAGCATAGGGGTCAGCACACCAGTCACCGTTCGCAGTTGTACCCCAGTGGGCTCCATTTGTGTCCCAGCCGGAACCACATCAGGCCTCATCAGTGTTGCTGTGGAGCCCGTATCAACCAGAGCAATGCAAGGGGCCCCACCCAGGGTGATGTGGACATGGCAAAAATCACCAAGGTGCGTCCAGCCCACCACTCTTACAGCCTCCGCGATGTCATCTACTTCTGGGGGGAGCGGAGCCTCGCTCCCCAGCCTGACAGTGGGGCTCTATCCCTGGGAAGTAAGGAAGGGTGGGACGCGGGAAAAGGGACCTGCTTCGTCCCAGTTACACAGACCCTGGAGCGTTTCCCTGCCCACCAACCTGCTTTGGGCGCCTCACGCTAATGTGACCAGCCAGGCCACACACCCAGCACACCGAAGGGCCATGGCGAGGACGGGTGTCGCTGCGTGGAGATTGCAGTGACACCGCCCTAATCAGTTCAGTCAGTTCAACAGCCCACGCCGGTTTCTCGTGGTCCGGCCCCTCTGGCATTACAGTCCTCACCAAACTTTGTGTCTCCTCTCTCCCATAGTGTGTCCTCTCTCTCTCCTTGTAGCTTTCTGCAAGTAGCCCTGGTTCTGGAGCTTTACGTTTCTGATGAGCAGTCACTGGCCACACCAACCTGCCCAGTATTTGATTGTTGTTTGTTGTGTGCCGTTGCTTTTTTTTTTTAATTCTCTCTCTCCTCTATTCACTCACCCCAACCGGTAGTCTCAATGTCATTAGCCAGTGCACGAGGTTTCTTCTGTTAAAGGGAGTTTTTCCTCCCCACTGTCGCTGAGTGCTGCTCGGGGGGGGGGTTGTTGGGTTTTCTCTTTAATAATAGAAATAATAACAGTAAGGTCTTGTACCTTACTGTGTAAAGTGTCCTGAGATGACTGTAGGTGTGATTTGGCGCTATACAAATACAACTGAATTGAATCCATGTGTTCTGTGTATGAGCACATTACGGGTTTTTGTGTATCTGTGTGTTTTGGCTCTGACTGGTAGAGGCCCTCCTCTAGTACCCCCCAGCTCCATCTCTCCTCACACAGAGCGCCGCCGTCGGGCCTTGTTTTTTCAAAACCAGCATCTGCAGCTAGGCCCCTGGCCATCTGTTTCAGGTGGGCTACGTGTTCTGGAGACTGGTCAAACCCTCTTTCATGCCCCGGCGTCGCCGCATAACCACCATCCTGCAGTTCCTCCGTCACTCGCACCCCAGCCTGGCTCCTCACCCGTCACGCTGCCATCCAGTTAGGTGTTTATCAAGGCCCGATAAGCCGGAGGCTAAGGCTAATGGCAGGCGTAACTCCGGCGTTTCACTTCTGACACCAAATGTAGCGTCCTGCAGGACACAAGGAAGACAACCGTGAGTGCCGACGAATAGTCGCTTTTTATTAACTCCACACAACCGGTTACCATTGGCCGTAACCACGCCAAAACAACACACCAAAAAGTGCCGACGAATAGTCGCTTTTTTATTAACTCCACACAACCGGTTACCGTTGGCCGTAACCACGCCAAAACAACAGCCCAACAACAATAAAAAAAGAAACAACCTGCTAACACCCTCTGTAGCTCAAATCCCCCCTCACACTTCTCTCCCTCCCGCTCTCACACCTCTTAACCCCTGAAGCTCCACACCCATCAAGGAACCATAACAATCTAGAACATCATAACATGCCAAGTGAAGGATCACTCCAATATAAATAAAACTAAAGATTCTTTAAGTGCATAATTTACTCTCCATCTTCTCGTTTCTGTGGTTTTCTTTCTTTTTGAACTTGATGCT